AAGCCTTTTCGTTGACATCCACAATTTTAATTGCCTTGAACATTATAAAAAATAGCCTATTTGCTGGGGTTCACGTGACTTTTGCTCGAGCTTTTGCTACATGTTGAAGGTAATACGTATTTTCAAATTAATCGCTGAAATAGGCTTATTTGTTTGAAATTCATAAAATTTCTCAAAGAACAGTTGTTTCTATTTCAATTCCAAATATGTGTCTCGATTCGATCTTTTTAATGATTTTCTCCAGAAATTATTAATCCCCGCTTCAACTTCAAACTTCTTTGGACCAACAAATCACAAATCAAACCATCGTATAAGCGTCTATTATCTATGTTACAAATATAATAAACAAATTCTTTGGATTATTCTTGGGTAGGGTACTTACCCCCATTACCCCTCTCATATCGACGCCCTTGGGTATCTGAATCAAGGGTATCTGGAAGTTTTGGAGTAGGAATGGGGTAAGTTAACATTTTCAAAATTCAAGATGGTGGATGAGTTTGTCATTCTCGGCGTTCGATTCGCCTGAAAATGAAAATCCATCTCAATAAATATATGGAATACGATTTTCTGACAAAAAAGTGTATGGTATGTTGAAGATGGCGTCTTCAAGATGGTGGACGAGCAAGGGCGTCGCCAGACAATTTTCCAAGGGGGGGCTGAAATTGTACTTCCAGAGCATAATGACCTGATGTGTAATTCCGAAATAAACGAAAAATATGCCTCAGGTTAGGTTAGGTTAGCTTCGCTCACGGCCGAACTTGAAAAAATACATCGTTGAAATAGCGGATCACTATCGGCCTCAACAGTACATTTTGGGAGGAAGGAACATAAATCATAAAGGAAATAAAAAAAGGGTAGGTTGAGTAGGGATTCGAACCCGGCGGGATATTTCCATCTATAGGCACGCACGTAGCTCACTTGGCTATGTAGTTGTTGGGAAAATACGTACAAATCATAAATAGTCTAAGATCCGACTGCAAGACTAATACGTTCATCTGTCATTTAATGAAAATTAGTTATTTATTATACAAGGGAAAACAGTAGTAGATTTTAGCTCTAGGTTGTGTTGTCTCCCGATGCATAGCGGAGGGAGACAAAAAACCGTGAGCTAAAATCTAATATTTTCCCTGTATAATACACTTTTTTTTGTGCCAGGAAATAGGACGAATCAATATTGAGAGGACATTACATGAATCAGAAAATCATCGACGTGAAACAGGAATGACACCTGCGTTGCAGGAATATTTTTGCAGGCATCTTTATCAATCCTTTGAAGTAATCAAATATCAAATCAAATAAGTCTAATTCTGTGATTTTATTTTCAACAATTGCGAATTTAGTGGTTGTTTAGTAATTTACGTAACCGCGAAGTCGAATGGGAGATTAGAGGACTTGTAGTGGTTTCTCGGAGACGGTGTTTGGCTTATTTTTCGGAACTATAGTACAACAAAACTATAGTAAAGTTTATGCAAAGTCAGTTGGAAAGACACATCACCGCAAGCCGTCGGTCACTTTGAAAGTTCAAAGAGTGCGGCAGCGCGGCCCGATATTCGTTTGATGATCTGTTCAACTGACTTTGTATAAGCTATACAACAGTGTATATATCTGTGATATACCGGGTGTCCCATTAAGCCTATCGACCGGCTTTATCCTAGAAACTAATGGTCCCACAGTTTTAGGAGAAAAACTATCTTGTGTAAAGCAGTCAAGAAAAATTCAACTAAAATACAGATTGAAAATTTGAAAACTCCTTTTTCTTGAAAAAGTCAAATACAAACGTAGGTATTTTTTATGTATTCTGCATCTCCTAGCCAATACCTAAAACTTTTGTATAACACTTTTTGTTCTAACTCTTCAAACAACGACAACAAAAACAAAACAAAAACGGTATACAAAAATCACCATAACTTCGGTTTGTCTTATCAGATTTAAATATAATGGACAGTGTCAATAATAAACAGTGATAGCGACCTGGAAGTACTTACTCCTCCAGAAATAACTGAGGTGGCAAAAAATATAGAGTTGAATTTGTTGTCGGAGAAGTCTCGGATGAAATATTAAGGAAATTATAAACGATACGATTTATGCTTTTGGGTGTATGATAACTTGACATTCATCATACAGGACGTGGAAAGAAATTTTGAATTGAGACTCTATCTCGAATCTGCGATTAGAGGTCTATAAAAATCACAAGTTTCCATCGTTCAAGTTTGAATAATTCAATGTTCGACGTGGCAAATAGCCAGGAAAGTAGTTGTTTTCTGTTGAATATTCAGAATGATGTGTGCATAATATAGATATTTTTGTCTGAAGGAGAATGCAAATTCTCAATTTCAGAAGTTTTTATATTTTATTTTCAAACTCTTATCGTGTGTGTTCAATGGATATAATTCAATGTTCGTCGTGGCATATAGCCAGGAAAGTAGTTGTTTTCTTTTGAATAAACTGAAAAAGAGTAGATATTCTCATCACATAGAGAATGCGAATTCTCAATGTTTTGCTTCATATAAATATATATCCATTTTTGTATGTTCATAATTTATCTGAGAATATTCCTTTTCGATACGATTTATGTAATAATTGCTAATAAATGTTTACGTCAAATGTTTTATTCCCATTGAGTATAATACTTTGCTGATTGATATGTGTCAGCAAAATTAATATTTGCTGCCAATCGGAGAAAAAATATATTTCTTCAAGACATGAACCAAGGAAGGGGGGCACGACCCCCTCTTGCCCTGCCGTGGCGACGCCCATGCGGACGAGTCATTTATCCTCTGATATATTTTAAAATGTGGATCTTGTGGTTTTTGACACGGTTTTTGAGTTTTGAGGTCGAGGAATACGAATTTGAAATCACGATTCGGAAATTTGAAGATGCTGAAAATATGAGAAAATGTTTCCATGAACATGCCGAGGTCGTAAAAGGCTTAATTTGCGAGATACAGGGAGTTGAGGTTGAAAATAGAAAAGTGTTCTGAATATTCTAGTGAATTACTGAGTGAAATGAATAGATAACATTATTTAATCGATATGAGGTCCAGTGGCGGCGTAAGGGGAGGAGGTATATTAATGTGAAATTTATAAAAATCATGAATAACGAATAAATTGTTCGAAATAGTTATACATAACTGGCAAAACTTTGATATCACGATAAGTCATACAAATAGAAATAGGAAAACGCTTTTCACATTAATTTTCATCTTTAACTCGTGTTGAAGTCTCCGTTTCACGCAATCGAAGTTTTCTAGACTACCACCATTATTCATAGCCATCCCATGATGAAATAAAGGATGGGTCTGAAGTTCCTGAAGTAAATGTAAATAAACTGATCGAAAATATTTAAGGATATTTTCAATCTTAAAGGACAAAGATATTGATTCCCCATTTTTTTTAGATAATATTTTTTTAAGATAATATCCTTAACTTGTCTCGATCAGTTTAGAAGTGTAGTATATTTTTGACTTCAAAATTCGATTGGAGTCAAAATTTGACTTGAAAAATTTTTGCTCATAAGATAGATAGGTACATCAGGGTAATGTTATAATTTATTTTTATTAGAACGCTTATATAGGCTTCGTATGTATGTTTGTTGGTTTGTTTGATTGTAATGGAATCTTCGAATAACGTGATTTTGACTCACTTCAAAACGTGCGATTGGTTCGAAATTTGGCAGGTGTACATAATTGTGGTGACAATTCATCATGAAATAGACAAAAAAACGAAATGGCGGCTCCAAAATGGCGGACCACTTTTGTAATTATAATCCGATTCTATTAAAAATTGGTATTTGGGGGTTTTTGGGGTCGGAGATTATGATTCTTTCGTCAAAATTGGGAAATTAGAGATGGCGGAAGAGTTTTGCAATTATGATCCGATTCTATTCAAAATTGGTGTCAGGGGGTTTCCGGAGTCGGAGATTATGTATTCTGAATTGCTACGAATATTGAATAAATTATCTTGCACGAAATACAAATCTTCCCTTCTTTGGAATTATGTATTCTGTCGTCAAAATTGTAAAATTCAAGATGGCGGATCCACTATGGCGAACGAGTTTTGTAATTATGATCCCATTTTATTCAAAATTGGTATCTGGGGGTTTACGGGGTCGAAGGTTATGATGCTTTCGTCATACTTTGAAAATTCAACATGACGGATCCAATATGACGAACGAGTTTTGTAATTATGATCCCATTTTATTCAAAATTGGTACTTGGGGGTTTTCGAGGTCGAATATTATGATGCTTTCGTCATAATTTGAAAATTCAAGATGGCGGATCCAATATGGCGAACGAGTTTTGAAATTATGATCCCATTTCATTCAAAATTGGTACTTGGGGGTTTTCGGGGTCGAAGATTATGATGCTTTCGTCATAATTTGAAAATTCAAGATGACGGATCCAATATGGCGAACGAGTTTTAAAATTATGATCCCATTTTATTCAAAATTGGTACTTGGGGGTTTTCGGGGTCGAAGATTATGATGCTTTCGTCATTATTTGTAAATTCAAGATGACTGATCCAATATGGTGAACAAGTTCTGTAATTATGATCCAATTGTGTTCAAAATTGGTTCTTGGGGGTTTCGGAGTCGGAGATGATGATTCTTACGTCAAAATTTGATAATTATTCAAGATAGCGGATCCAATATGGCGGACGAGTTTTGTAATTATGAGCCGATTCTATTCAAAATGTGTATCTGGGGTTTTTCGGGGTCAGAGATTATAATTCTTTCATCAAAATTGTAAATTGCATGATGTCGGATCCAATAATATATGGTGAACGAGTTTTCCAATTATGATCCGATTTCTATTCATAATTGGGGTGGTTTCCTGGGTCGCAGATTATAATTAATTTTTTCGTCAAAATTGGAAAATTATAATTGGCGAAACCAATATGACGAACGAGCTCTGTATTAAATAGTAGTCTGAAAAACTGAAGAAATACGCATCTATTAGTTAGGGCCTAGTATCCTAATTCTCCCTATTCGTTCTCTTCAGGAACCCGACATGTCGTCTGCGCAGGTCCTCGACCCGCTGCCCCCGAAACCCGCCTCTGGGGGCGGCAACCCGAACAAGCCGCCCCCGAAGCCGCTCCACACCAACAACAATAACAACAACTCGAAGCGCAAGAACAAGCACGGCGGCGGCGGCCGGAAGCGGTCGAAGAGCTTCTCGGCCGGCGGCGCGGGGCTCATGATCTGCCAGAAGCCGGTCCTGCCATCGAAGTTCCTGTTGGGCGGCAACATCAAGGACCCGCTCAATTTGAACAGCTTGCAGGACGAGGAGATCAACAGGTGGGTGATTTTTTTGCAAGGATTCGTTTTGCCCAGACATACGTATAGGACATACGAAAGTTGAGTCACTGGATGGTTGGATGATGTGTTGGAGTGTTTCTCCACTTAGTGTATATTAGAGTCACTGGATGGTATTAGTTTGATAAGACTTCGGACACAGCTGAACTTTTGTCCTTTTCTATTTTCTATAATACAATGGTTTAAGTGAATAAAAGAATAAGGCATATATTCTGCTCTTCGTCTTTTCAATTTCCCTAGTAGCGCCTGATTGTCAGATACGATTTCAGAGGTTATATTTCCTGTCAAATCAATCAGAGCCGTAGATGGACAATGGATATAGGGTACAAACACCCACTTCAATTCATAGTGATACACTTCTAGCAGAGCAAGTATTATATAAATGAAAAAAATGCATGTAACAACATTTTAATATCAGAGAATATATACATACCATTCAATAATATATCACGTTATAGTTTACTTGCTTTTTTTAGTTTTGTTTTCAAATTTTCAATTTCATAATGTAATTATTCAATCATTTCTCCTTTTTCCATGAATATTTTGTTTTGTATTTTGTGTGATGCTAATAATGGAATTTTGTTATTGAAATCGTCTGCTTTGTAAATTGATGGAACAGCAGATTCTCTCAAACAGATTTTGAAATCGTCTGTTTGAAAATGGGCCTAAAATATAGATTCATTCTAATCAGATGCTGTTATAAGAAGTGAATTTCAATGAGTACCTCACAAATTTCGCTATTCTTCAAATTTGTTTTCCACCCAGGCCGTTTCATATCTTCCTTCCATAAGCGAATGCTTGATATTTGATTTGGAAAATTGAATAAATGATATCCATTTGTTTCAAAATTGGCACAATTTATTACACATCAAGTGATTTCCATAGCTGTTTTTATCTCAAAAGTATAATAATTACAAAATTTTATTTCAATTCTGACGTTTATAAAATGAATTGTCAAATTCAAAGAATTTTGATCGAAAAAGCGCGGGACGACTATGGTGCTCTTGTCACAATGCAAGGTGTGTAACTTCATAAATCTAAACATTCAAAAACCCTAACCGTTGTCATTTCTGTGTCCGAACTCTTATCAAACTAATAACATCCAGTGACTGTAGACTAGTGTATATTCACCTCTGTTCAACACATGCGAGTAAGAAGGAAACATATACATCGAGTGCAAAAACACTCCGTTGGTTCGGACACAGAAATGACAAATGTTAGTGTATTTGATTGTTTAATTTCATCAAGTTACACATTTTGCATTGTGGCCAGAGCACCATAGTCGTCCCGCGCTTTTTCATTCAGAATTGTTTGAATTTTACCATGCATTATGGCCGGTTCGTTTGTATTGCGGAACTTGCTGAAGTTTATGTTTTCCCCATAGTTGTCCCTGTTCATGGCATGACGTAAACATAGAAAGTCATAGAAAAAAATCAGTCAAGTTCAGCAGGTAGAAAAAACATAAAGAACATGCCTTTAATGAACGTCAGAATCGGAATTCTGAAGAGAATGGATTTCATCGAAAATTTCATTTATTTAATTTTCACAACTAAATATCAATCATTCTCTCATGAAAGGAATGCATGAGAAGGGCTGTATGGAAAATTAATTATTATCATCACACGAAATGCAAAATAAAATTATCATGGAGAAAGAGGAATTGATTGCAAAATTGCATAATGAAATTGAACAAAACTGAGGGAATCAAATAAATTGCAATGTGATATAATGTTCAATGACATTTTCAATACCGAATAAATTCAAAATGTATCAGTGAAAAGTGAAGGCAGGAGAAGGTGGGAAATCAAAACAAATAAATGAAGCGTTTGCCATCAAATATACTTGTGGTACCATAGGCTATGAACACCTGCCTATTTTGTCATATATGGTCATATTAAAATGTTGGTACATGCATTGTTTTCATTTTTATAACTGTTGTTCTGTGTGGGTTTTCATACCCTATTTATATTTTCCATCTACAGGTATGATTGATTTGACAGAAAATCTAATCTCTCTAATCTCTCTAATCTCTAAAATCGAATCTGCCAATCAGTAAATTGAGAAGACAAAGAGAATATATGACTTCTTTTATTCACTCAAAACCATTGTAATATAGGAAATAGAAAAGGACAAAAGTTCAGCTGTGTACGAACTCTTATCTTACTAATACCATCCATTGACTAAAGGCACAAGCGCATGCGTGCTGGAACAGTAGATTGCGAAAGATCCAGTAGTCGCACTCAACTGTCGGCACCATTGATGTCCGTCACTCCATTTTGTTTACAGCTGTTTACTGCGCAATCATAATTTCATGCACGCGCACCGGGTCGCCTATATTATCATGATTTCAACACAAATATCCAACAATAAGACATGAAACTCTGTTCGTCGGTACCTTGGATATTAATTATAAGAATACGTATTTTGGGACTCGTGAGTCTCGGATTATTTAGATGAGGAAATGAAAAGGACAAATATCTAACTTAACATCAGGTGGCACTTTGAAGGCGCACATTCATTACTGCATGGGAGATACAGCTCAGATTTGTTGCTATTCAGTGACGAATGACATTGACGTTTGAGTCTTTTGCGAACAAATATTTTAGTGAAGGACAACTGATTCTAAGAGGATTTAACTGGTGCTGGCGAGAATTTTTTGTCTCTTTCGCTTCTCGGAAAATATTGTAGTGAGCGCTTGGTACACTGGCTTGCCAGACAGGCGACTTGGGTTCAATCCTCAAGAGGAATAATTTTTTTTACAATTTTATTTTCAAGAATTTCCAAAAAAGGTTCATTTAGGTTGTGTCAGGGGCCACGTAGCCGTGCGGACAGAGTGTCTATATTCTGATCCGCATTCGCTTGCCGGTCGTGGGTTCGATTCCCATCGACTGCAGACATTTTTCTGATGGCCCAAGAAAGTGTTTGGGATCACACGTTAAAAGGTTGCTCGCACAAGACTCTCGAAGACTTCTGAGGGTTGTTCGTAAGGGGGCAACTGAATGACGTATAGAACAATTTTAGATTTTTTAGAAAAAATATTTCTCTCTTTCTTATGCAGAAAGGATATTTTCCTTCCTTTTGCCTACACTTATGATGAAGACACCCCTGTATTTTAGTCATTTTTGTAAGCAGGGGTTTGATTTTTAGTTCAGACGTAGACTCAGCCTACTGCTCAGTCTACTGCGATCCCTTGAAAAGGTCGAATTCTCGATAGTTTGCTCCGCGTTGCAGATACCGAAAAAAGTTATTTGAAAAAGTTGCTTTGAAATCGATTTTGACTACATACCGAATTTCAACGGAAACTTCGAATTTGGATTTGTTTGTAATTTTCACATTCAAGTCCGATTTTCGATTGATGGTTTACAATAAAAAGCTACAGAAATAATAAAATAGTCAGAATCAATAGAATAAATGATTCAAATAACTAAAATTATTTCATGAAATGTACATACGTTAACTAGCCTATCTCTCAAAATTCAAAATTCGAATGTTGCGTTGAAATTCGGTATGTAGGGTCAAAATCGATTGAGCAACTTTTACGAGTAACTTTTTTCGGCATCTCCAACGCGAAGCAAATTATCGGTAATTTGTCCTTTCCGCGGGATCGCAGTAGGCTGGGTTTGAGGCTGTCACTCGGGCTGAATATTGCACAAAGTGCCGGCCAATGAAGGTCTACGTCTATATAAAATATATAATCTTTGCTTTCACAAATGACTGAAATACAGGGTTGTATTCATCTAAAGTGTGTAACACTGTAGATAATAGGAAGAAAAATATACATTCTGCATAAGAAAGAACCGGAAAGAACTATTATTAGATTGTTCAGATTGTTCTTTCTTGTGCAGAATGTATCTTTATTACATAGATATTTTAGATCTTACAACCACTCAAATTTACCAACAATCTCGGTGATTTGAATTCACCGCCATAACCCAAATCGCTCTAATTGGGCTTAGGAATCGCCTATATGTATGTTTGGGCAAAACTCGTGCTGGAAAAGTTGATTGACGGGAATGCGCAGTGCGTATATCGTATTGGACCACTGAGAAAAATAAACACACCAAACACAAACAACTTTTAAATGGATGACGGACGATCTAATGAAGTTACAGATTATCTATCATTTGGCTCACTTTATCAGATTCTCCATTGAAAATGGCATTCCATACAATTTTCTCAGGGCCATGAATGCAGTGACCCCCAAGTCATCACCTGTCCCCACTCCGCCCAGAAAAAAGTTCCAAATTGAGGTTATAATTCCGAGGAACATTCACGACCCCCTCAATCTTACTGATTGCGCTGACGATGCTGAATACGAGCAACAGCTTTCTTCATCTATCAAGAAGGTAAGTCATCATTATCAACTTTTCTCATACTCAAACAGCATTTTGAACAAGACATTGGCGCATAATTTGCAACTAAAAAACATCTGCATGTTTTGGAAAATGTATTTCAGTTCAGATCTCTATTGTGAAAACTATTTTCTTCTCTAACGTAGTCCAAGAAAAAACGCCTAAAAAAACGCCGGACCATCTCCGGCACCATGGACACGACCGCCGACTCGGTTGACCTCATCACCGAAGCGAAAACCCCCGAAACGGCGACCGACTCGGCGAAAATACCCGACGCCCCTCCCCCCGACCTCGCCACGCCCCCAGACGCCCGCGCAGAGGCGGTGCTCGAGCCGGCCACGCCCACCGCTAAGGAGGGGCAGAAGGCGACAGGCAAGCGCAAAGCCCCGCCCAAACCGCGTGCGGTGCAGGAGCTGGCGCTCGAGCTGGCCACACCATCCAAGGCTCCGCCCACCGCTAAGAAGGAGGGGCAGAAGGTGGGGGGGAAGCGCAAGTCGGACGAATACGGTCACAGCGCGAAGAAGTTCAAGAATAGTGGTATGGATAAGATCGTGAGTCCGGTGGTGCCGCAGCCGGGGGCGTGGCCGAAGCGGAGCGCCTTGTTGGGCATGAACAAGAGGGCGAAACCGAGGCAGAACAAACCCGAGGGGGTGGGGAAGGAGCCACAGTTCAAGGAGAAGGACAAGCGGTTCCAGTACGGGAATTATAATAGGTTAGTGTCAGATATAATTGTGATTCTATTTACAGTGTCATTTATTAGGTTGGTATTATATTATGGGAAAAACTTAATAATAATTTGTTTGGGGAAAATGGGCTACCCGGTCGATGTCACGTGACATGTCAAAAGTTACATGTTTTCAAATTAATCGCTTTTAGGTTTATTTGCTTGAATTTCGAATAAGTTTACGGAGAAAAGTTGTTTCTATTCCAATTTTACATGTGTTTCGAATTTGAACGTTCTAGAACAACTTTCAGATTTTGATATTTTCTCAATTTCTGTAAAATGTCCTTAATATTAAAAGGAAATAACACCCACAAATCTTTTTCGTTCTACTTGCTTTGTCATGCTAAATTTCAATCACTAATAGTTATCAACGAAAATATGAATTTCTTCAGAAAATAATGATCCCCGCTTCAAATTTCTGTCATGTTTGATGCAAATTCGATATATTGTCCATCATTCAATAGCAGAGTGATGCCAAAGTCATCTATCGAAATATCATCAAACAACTCTACCTATCCAACCAAGGTTTAGGACAGTTATGTCGACGTTACAATTAGAAGAAATCAAAAAGATATCATGAACTGAAGGTTACAATAGAATGTTCAAATTCGAGAAACATGTGTAAAATTTGAATTTTTTGGAACAAATAAGCCTATTTTCCAGGGTTTAATTTGAAAAAATGCAACTTTACTTGTAGCAAAGGTCACGTCACTTCGACCGAGTAGGCCAATTTTCATCTTTTTTTAAGCAAAACTCAACGCCCAAGTCGAATTCCAGAATAAATTATTATTAAAATGTGTTCCCATATGATGTCAACTTGATGAATAACACTTTATACTGATTCATTTATTTTGTACTGATTTTATCAATGAAAACGGAACTTATGAACTTTCAATCCAAGAGACGGCTGACATATTTTACCAAATGTAAAAACATTGCATTTTATCTAACGGCACCTGTACCTATCACTATTCTGAGCAAAATGATTGAGAAAAATGGCACTTTTCTGTTCGGTACATTTTGCAATTTGATAACAAGGTAAGCATTATGCTATCTGATAACAATTGAATGGTAGATTTCAAAACCCTACCTATGCCATCTCCATTTATTTGCTGCCGTTATTCCAGAAAAACTTCCGTCATGTGATGTGACGAGTTGAAACAAAAAGCAAATAAAAGGGGATAATGTTCCCTTTCCGAATATCTAACCGTGCCGCGATTCAAACTGATTTAAGTTAATGGCAGAGCATCAATATTTCGCCTCTTTCAAAAGATAATATCCGATCGACCTGTGGATCGACTCAATTATCCAACGGAAAACCGAAAGTCTACTTAATTTTTATTGAAATGTAAAGTTTGCTTCAACAAAATAAGCTCTTGTGTTATTATAAGTGACAAATTCTTCAAAAAACTTCAATTCTGGGTGAGTGACTATGACAAACATCTGTACACAGCTGAACATGATATTGTGGATCTCCAAGATGTAATTTTCATATTATATTATGCTTGAAGAACAATGGTATTTTTTCTTGGGACATTTTAGCATTTTTTCTAGTAACAATTTCATTTGTGATTTCGGTGGTTATTATGAAACCATAATTTGTTTCAAATCACAATGGTTATCGTTTTGATGGGGTGTCTCATGACGCCATGATCTATTAGTAAACTACCAATTTGTAAAAATGTCTTCCCAGAATATGCTTTACAACTGTCAACATAACCAATCTGATAATCACTAAGAATAATAATTATAACAACTAGGTATTGTTTGGCTATAGGAAGTAGTGTGTGATAAATGATAAATTGATTTACTGATATGGTCATGTTCAAATTTGTTTTCATTTATTCATGTTAAGAAAACAAGAATCTCAAAAGTATCTCTATTGTACATAGGATACATATATGTTCATAATTTTATATTCTTCCAGTTATTATAATGAGCAAACAGAATCTGCACAAATAAAACCAAAAATTGAACCTAAAAATATTACAAGTATCAGCACCTACATACTATGAACATTGGTAAAATTAACTAATTCACTAAGTTACAACTGAATGAGAAGTTTCCAAGTTTCATTTCTTAATTTTTTTCCTTATTCCAATATATTCATGCCCCTGGTTTTGTTATTCCAGTTTAACATTGTGTGTAATGAAAATATCATCCTGCACATTAAAATAATATCTTTTATTCATGTTTTTCTCTCGGTTTTAGTATTTGCCGTTTGAAGTAATTTTTTCAGTCTATTCAGCTTCACGAAGTTCCAATTTCAACCAACATTCATTTTCATTTTATTTTCAAACATCTCTTTCCAATGAAGTTAGTTCACAGCGAGAGTGGAATAAAATCGTGTTATCCAATATTTCAACGAACTCGCTCTTCACAATAATGCATTTAAAAGTAAATGATAGTCCGGGAACGGCATATTAGGAATCGGGCAACATAGTCATATCAAATGTATACTCAACACAGCAACATGAATTATCACCTGCGTATACATCATTTAATTGATTCTTTCATTTCTTGGATTTGTTTGTATCATATTCTATGACTAAATGGAAGAACCTATAATCTCCAAAAGTTAAAAAAATCCCCATCCTCTCTAGGCACTAGGTACGCACGGTTCTTCGAGCATTTACGAATTCCCTTTTCTTGCGCTCCAAGAATTAAAAAAATACAAGGTGTTGTTTAAAAATGTATGACACGACTTCAACTTTGTGTTAAAATATGATAATAAAATTAATATATTTTCAGAAAATCTGATTCCTGGAAGAAATGAATTGTAAATACATATTCCATAGAGACTTTTTCCTAATTCCCTTTCAAAGACCGTATGTATGTATGTATGTATGTATGTTATGTATATACAATATATTCAACCGACTCCTTTGGACTCGATTTTGGCCCATTTTGAACGGACCGATAGCTTTGATATTTGGCAGGTGTACAAAAACAAAATGGCTGCTCCGAAATGGCGGCTTCAAAATGACGGACGAGTTTTGTAATTATGATCCGATTTCATTTGAAATTGGTATCTGGAGGTTTTCGAGGTCAGAGATCATGATTCTTTCGTCAAAATTGGTAAATTCAAGATGGCAGATCCAATATGGCGGACGAGTCTTGTAATTATAATCCGAATCTATTCAAAATTTGTTCATGGGTGTTTTTGGGGTCAGAGATTATGATTCTTTCGTCAAAATTTGAAAATTCAAGATGGCAGATCCAATATGGCGAACGTGTTTTGTAATCATGATCCGAATGTAATCAAAATTGATAGCTGGGGTTTTATGGGTTGGAGATTTTTTTGTCAAAATGGAAAAATTCAAGATGGCGGATCCAATATGGTGGACGAGTTTTGTAATTATATTAACCGATTCTATTCAAAATTGGCATCTGGGGATTTATGACGCCTTTGACAAAATTGGAAAATTCAATATCACCAATACAATATGACAGACGGGTTTTGTAATCATAATTCGATTCTATTAAAATTAGTTTCTGGTGGTTTTCGGGGTCGAAGATTATGATTCTTTCGTCAAAATTGGGAACTTACACAAAATATAAAAACACTAAAACGAATCATTTGAAAAACACTACAAAGTGGCTCATGTGTTGCTTTTTTTTTCAACCGAAGTATTTAAAACGAAAATGTAATGGAACGGTTGAAAATTGTTCTTTTGAATTCAACGATGCTTCGCATTAGGTACTTTTTGATGACGCATGTAAAATGTTTGGTAGCAGTATCGGAGGATAATTCAACTGGAGTTTTTTTGCTTCGTTTTCATATCGAAAACACAGTTCCCGGACTATAAATCTCTGGGGATCATGTCGTTCAAACTGAATAACATGGAACATAATAAAACCTGTGTCTACAAAGCGTACATCAGTGAGGATGAGGGTTGAAGAGAGAGGAAAAACGCTGGTGAAAATCTTGTTGGCACAGTTTTACTACTGCCTATTTAGTACGGGCAGATTATGCCACAAACTGGCATACAAAGGAAATTAACTAGGGTAGCTATCGATCTTGGAAATAAGGTGCTGACAATCGCATTTTCGCTGATATCTTTGAAATTGTAGGCGGTGTTCAGGGTTTGCCAAATTTCGGCGATTGTTAAGACAGCTTGTTGCCTTATAATTTCGCGAATGACATGTTTATCAAAGCTATCGAGCCGTAGGCGAGAAGTTTCGAATCAATGTCACGAACGATATCAAAGCATCAACCTGAGTCAATCGACGAATATTTCAAAAATGTCATCACTTATGAAGCTTTTTTTTTGTCGAAGTAAACTCGACATGTATTAATGAGAATTTTGTTGCCTGGCAATTTGACGAAAAAAACTGCCTCTGAAAAAATTACGAGTCAGTAGGACGAGTAATCTGTTCTGGCAGTTTTTTGAGTTGAATTACCTTAAATACAGGGTGAGTCATAACTATTGGGACATAGGCTAGGGCGGATTGTTATGACCAAAATATGGCGATTGGACCAAACATGCCTTAATAAAATATTGCTGTGGAAAGAGATACAGGGCGTTAAAGTTGATTTTTTTCGTTTTTTGTCGGTTTTTTGTTAATAATTTCACTGTATATGGAATATATTTGAAGAAGTTTTGTGATTTGGTTGCTTTCTGTCTAGATGTAAGATATATTACAATTAATACCTACTGGTTGCATCCCGCATTTATCCATTCATAAAATGATTGTGAGGAGGCATTTCGATTTCTCTGACAAGAAATGCCATTACCAGCAACATTATCTGACAGTTCAAAGCAAACTCTTCATGAATGAAATAATATTTGTAATTAACTTCTGAGACTCTGAACTGTTCAATAGCGTTTTTCTCGAAAACGGATGAAAATATCGTGTTCAAACAGGAGTACCAATATTACGTAGAAATGATGTTTAGGTCATATTTTTCAATCAAAATCACTCCAAAGTTTCGTCAAAAAAAGTAAATAGGCGATTTCATCATCAAGAATCGTTCACGTGGCGCC